CTGGTCACCTGCTGGAAGAACAATGCAGCCAAACATAAAATGTGAAGCCAGTTCCTAACTTAGGTGGAGACAAAACTGGGAGATCATCTACCTTGGATCTTGTCCTGACAAACAGGGAAGAATTAATGAAGAATATAAAGGTAATGGCTAACTTGGGAGGAAGTTATCACAACACAATAGAATTCCAAATCCTGAAAAAGGAAAAACCATGAGACAAGGAAAGTAAAATGAGGATGCTAGATTTCAAAAAGGTGGATTTCATCTGATTCAAACAACGAATACGCATGGTGTCATGGGAGGATAGGTTGTAGGATAAAGGCACCTAAGAGGGCTGGGAGCTGCTAACAGCCACAGCATTGGAAGCTCAATAAGAAACTCTCCTGGCACAATGGAAACACAAGAATGGCAAGAGACCAATGACTGCACAAAGAGCTTCTAAAATGCCTCAAATGCAAAAGGAAAACATATAGGTAATGGAAGAATGGGCAGGTCACCAAGAAAACATACCAAGAAATAGAAAGAACCTGCAAGGACAAAATCAAGGTGGCAAAGATAAAGAACAAGCTGCACCTGGGAAAGGAGATTAAGGACAACAAGAGGTTCTGTAAGTGTGTTGACCAGAAAAGAAGGACCAAGGAAGCTGTGGGTTCTCTGCTAGCAAGGAAAGAAAGATGCAAAGAAGGCAGACCTACTTTGCCTCAGTCTTCACAAAAAAAATTAAGCTGCAGACAGAAACTTAATAGGGATTATCTGGATAAGGAAGAGGACAAGCTGAGAGAGGAGACAGCAAAAAAGACAGTCAGACAGCATCTGCTGGGTCTGAATAAATTCAAGTCAGCAGGGCCAGATAAACTTTGTTCCAGAGTCCTAAAGGAAATGGCAGAGGAGATCTTGGAGCCCTTGACAATGATCTTCATGAAGCTGTGGGGAACAGAACAGGTACCAGAGAACCAGAAAAAAAGCCCATGTAATGCCTCTCTTTAAAAAAGGCAAGAAGGAGGACCCAGGGAACTACAGACTGGTTAGGCTCACCTTAATACCTGGAAAGTTACTAGAGCATTCCCCTAAGAAAAGCCATTTGAAAGCATCTGGAGGACAAAAGGCTGATCACAAACAGCCAGTCTGGATTTATGAAAAAATAAATTCTGTCAAACAAACTTGATCTCCCTCTTTAACAAAGCAACTACTTGCGTGGATGAGGGGAATGCTGTGGATATAGTGCATCTAGACTTCAGTAAGGCTTTTGACAAGGTCCCACAAAACCTTCTCAAAAAACAAATTAGAGAAATGTGAGCTAGGTGAAACCACTATAAGGTAGATAGATATCTGACTCAATAGCCACATGAAAATGGTAATTATTAAATTGGTCCATGTCAGAATTGTAGAAGGTTTCAAGTAGAGTCCTACAGGGATCTGTCCTGGGCCTCCTGCTGTTTAACATGTTTATTAACAATTTGGATGTTGGCATAGAAAGCTTCTTGATCAGGTTTGCAGATGATACAAAACTGAAATGAATCACAAACACTCTGGAGGATGTAAGCACAATTCAGAAGGACCTCAACGGTTTTGAAAGTTGAGCTAGAGCTAACAGAATGAAGTACAATGGAGTAACATACAAGATAGTACACCTTGGAAGGAATAATCAAAAACATAGATATAAAACAGGTGACATCTGGCTGGATGGTAGCACTATGGAAAATGTCTTGGGAGTCTTGGTAGACCACAGACTCAATGAGTCTGCAGCATGATTCAACCACACAAAAAGTGAATTTGGTTTTGGGATGCATCAATAGAAGCATTAGGCGTATAAGACACGGGAGGTGATAGTGCCTCTCTTCTCAGTTGGTACTGGTTAGGTTTCATCTGGTGAACTGTGTGTAGTTCTGAGCTCCACATTTTAAAAAGGCACGGAGAAGTTACAGAGGGTCCAGAAGCAGGTAGAGATGATCAAGGGCTTGGAAAACAAGTCATATGACAGGCTGAAGGAGCTAGGCTTGTTCTGCTTGCAGAAAAGGGGACATGAGAAGACTTTATAGGGGACATGACAGCAGTCTTCAAATACCTTAAGGGTTGCCATAAAGAGGAAAAGCAACTTTTCTCTCTTGCTGCAGAGAGGATGACATGGACCAATGGCTTGAAGTTGCAGCAAACTAAGTTTAAATCGGGTATCTGAGAAAACTTCTTCGCTATTAAAACATTGAGGCAGTGAAATAGACTGCACACAAAGGCATTTTGCTTGGTGCACACACCTTGGGGAAGGGGTCAGGGCTGCGCTGCCAAACCAAAAATTGGACCCCTTATGGCTCCCCCACCATCCGCCTTGGCGCACCAACATCTTACAAGTTGAGGTTATGGGTGTTTTTGGCACTCTGCCCAAAAACGTTGCCAACACCTACACTACATGACCTCTGGAGGTCTCTTGCAGCCCTATTTCTCTATGATTCTATGATTCTCACAAGAGTTTTCAAGTTACATTGTTATAAAATATAGTAAAGATTTACCATTCAGTAACAAAGTCTAATACATGAAAACTTACTGTATTTTAGGAACTTTACACATACAGGTAAAATCTGAACCAAATTTTTCATTCATCTTAAAGCTAGTAATGCTTTAGCAAATGCACTTGCTTCAACAGCAAGAGTTAGGCTTAGCACTTAGTTGAAATCCCTTTCCCTTTCACAAATCTAAAAAAGCCCTGAAAATCTGGAGATTTTTATAGGTAACCACTCATTTAAATGACAGATTTATGCATCGTGGTTACAAAAAGCAATAGTTCTTTGGTTATTTCACATTAAGGGAACAGTAGGTGAAAACAGAAAACAATAGCAAAATTTTACAACTAAAAAATCTTGAGTATGTTTTCTCCAAATGGAGTCGCCAAACTACTGACAGAGGAATATTACATAGAGAAAATATTATTATATAATATAAATGTGAATACAATAAAAATCCAGATAAAGTAAAGCTAACAAAAAGATTAACTTCAGGCATAAACTACGCTAAGCATTATGGCTGCTTACAGACATGAAGAAAACAAAACAAAATAAGACAACGCTTTACTTTAAGCTTGGCATGCCCCCGCACCAAGTGAAGTGCATGCCCAGAAGAAGCATCACATTAGTTTGACCCAGCTCACCCAACTCTGTGATTGTATGCTTCAATAGGGCTTTTTGGCACTTTTATCCAACAGCTGATTGAATCAGCTGTTAAATAAAAGCATCAAAAAGTCCTGCTGAAGCACCTGATCTGTATAGAGGCTGGGAAGCCAGGTCAAGCTAACATGTATGGTAACTTAAAATTGAACGTGTGGCACACATCTCAGATGCGGGGCTACCCAAAAGGATGATAACCATCATCTGGAGATTAGGTTGTGGGAAGCAGGAACCAGCAGGACCTGAAGTTGTCCTATGCCCAATCAGCTGTGCTCAACTAAGCATCAGGGTTGGGCTGTGGGTAGCCCTGGAAGCTGAATAATTCATATCTGAAACACTTTATGCCCTATCCCAAACACTATTAATCTGATGAGACAGAACACACAATTTTTGGGTTGGGACAAAATTGTTCAGATCCTACATGAGCCATTATTTTAACATCTGCCAGGGGACACAGAGCCCACCTTGGATTAATTTAACCTGCCAAGAACGCAACAACTTGGTATAGACATCTCCTTATATATGGAAGATTAAAGCTTAAGACCCTTCCTCATCTACAGCTTCAAAAACCCATTGTAACTAACAAATCAATACCCTATAAGAATGACAATTATAAATAGCACATCATGGACAGAAAAAACTATAATATAAAAAATATTAAAAAAACATTTCAAATCCTTTTAAGATGCGTCTGTCATCAGTACCAAGAATCTTTCAAGCAGGATGCGTTTACGTTAAATTTGGTGTTTCTGAGGTTATAAACAGATGTCGCAAAATGAAATGGATCAGCTGTGCCAAAACAAACATAACCCACTGCCCCACAGAGCCCGACCACTGCCACTTCAGGGAGCTGTGGGAGCCTGATTCTATGGAACAACAGTTGGGGACCATCTGCTAATGCGGGAAGCTAGGATTGCCCCACTTGCAGAGATGTGCCAGAATCAGGGCATGGCAGTGCAATGTGGGGCCAGGTAATCCCTTGCTGGAGGATTCCAGGGGCATGCATCTGTGAGAAACCCAGGGTTCCCTCATTTACAGAGGCATATCCTGAATCAGGACACAGCAGTACAATGCATGCACCCAGAGAATCCCTTGCCAGAGGATTCCTGGTGTGCACCTCTGCCGAAGGGGAACCCTGGGCAGGTGCTCCTGTGACCCAATTCTACTTGCAGGATCAGACCCCTGAGGCCCCAGAAGCACCTGCACCCTCCTGCCCCAAATCAAAAAGATGTCTGCTGCAAAAAAAGCATCACAAATTTATGCTACCTGTTGCCATTGCCACAATTTTTAGCATTTGTGGTGCAACAAGTGGCATGAACATCTGTTTGCTTGGTCTCTGTACTACCAGGACATTTTTTATGGAAGCACAAAGGTGACATCTGTTTCCAGCCTCAGAAACAATCTTAACTGTTTGGACTCTTGGATTTCCAGAAATAAACAAGCTACAGGTTGAAGTGTTATCTGCCAGTGAGACTAAATGATATTTTTTCTTGGTTTATCTTCTATCTGATTCATTAGGAAGAAAAAAAAATCCTGCTGTTGGTTTTAAGCAAGGCAGAGAAAGGACTGAGGCAAAAAATTTTAGGTGATTAAGCAGACAATCAAAATGATCATATCAGAAACTGCAGGATCAATATGCTAACTCAGTTTCTCCTGCTCTTAGGCATTTTATAAACTGTACTGGCAACTATTTTGTGACCAGGAATACATACAGTGCACAAGTAATAGGAATAATTTTCACATGACAAATATTTATAAAAACTATAAATCCAGCAAACAGTGATAGTTGGCATCTTTCAGCAAGTATATTTTAATTATGCACCATCCTAATAGTTTCCAGTACTGTACCTGTGTGGAACATTTCCATCATGAATGGCCTCTGGAGGAACTCTCCATGGACAAGTGACTCTTCCTCCAGGAAGACGTTTAAAATCAAACTGGCAGCATATTTTAGGATCTGGACCACAAGTATGAGGAACGTCATAGCTATAGAAAGGCATCATATGGCAAAGGATATCTGTACTGGATCCCAAATCTAAAAGTAAATACACAGATATATCTATAAAAATAAGCTATATGCAGTGTTTATATAGCAACTGTTTAGCCTTAATCTAAAAGTGTTATTTAAACACTAGCACAAAACAGTTTCATCTTTAACATACGCTGGCTAGGAACCTGCAACATTAAAGCATCAGCAGTTTTGCTGCAACTTCAATGAGCACAGAAACAAGCCTTTAATGATCCAGTTGAAGATACTGCATTGAATGAACTACCTTCCATAAGAAGAATCCATCCTTCAGTATTTTTTAATAATTTAATTTTCAGTGTCATTTATTTGAAAGAATTCTCAGGTAGAAGCAGATCTAGAGGGATGCAGTGATGCAGTAACATCCTGCTTCACTGGCAAGTACTCTAGTTCAGCTGCTAAATGCATGGGCAGTGACCTCTTCACCTCCACATATCCCATTTCAATGCTCTGGATCCAGTACTGCTCAAAAATTGATTTATATAGCTCAACAACATTACGTTTTGGACCTCAACACAGAACTAACTTCCCAACTAAATTAGAAAAGAATTTTTCAATAAGTTAAATTTGCATTTGAAAACAGAGTCTACGTTTTAATAACATTAAAGGGTTTTCTTCAAATGGTCACAAGTAAAGCAAAGTAGCTGCAAAAATTTAAGTGACATACTGATAAAAATATAATTAAGCAAGAATTACCATCACAATCTTCACGAATTGCCAAAATTTCCAAACTTGTAATTAAATATTTGAGTTGATATTGTATATCTGGAGTTCCAAAAAGGCTTTGACAAGGTCCCCAACCAAAGGCTGTTAATGAAGTTAGATAGCCATGAGATTATAGACAAGGTCCACTCATGGATTAGAAAATTGGTTTAAGGATAGAAAACAAAGAGAGAGTATAAATGGTGAGTTTTCAGGATGGAAAGTAGTAAACAGCAGGTTCCCCCAGAGATCTGTGTTAGAACTGGTGTTGTTTAACAGATTCATAGATGCTAGGGTCAGAAAGGACTTCAGCAGATCATCAAGTCCAACCCCCTGCCTAGGCAGGAAAGAGTGCTGGGATCAGATGACCCCAGCCAGAGGCCTATCCAGCCTTCTCTTGAAGACCCCCAAGGTAGGTGAGAGCACCACCTCCCTTGGAAGCCCATTCCAAATTCTGGCCACTCTTACTGTGAAGAAGTTCTTCCTGATGTCTAGCCTAAATCTGCTCTCTGTCAGTTTGTGACCATCGTTCCTTGTTACCCCAAGAGGCGCCCTGGTCAACAGAGCGTCTCCGATTCCTTGCTGTGCCCCCCTAATGAATTTGTAGGTGGCCACAAGATCGCCTCTCAACCTTCTCTTCTCTCTCATATTCACAAATGATCTGGAAAGAGTGGGGAGGGGGGAAGTAGTGAGGTGGCCAAATTTGCAGATAACACAAAATTATTCAGAGTGGTAAAGACCAAGGTGGACTGTGAAGAACGACTGAAGGATCTCAAACTATTAAGTGAATGGACAATTAAATGCTGGATGAAATTCAACATAGATAAGTGGAAAGTGATGCACATGGGCAAAAATTATCCAACTATACCTATACTATAATGGGCCCTACATTAGCTGTTACTACACAGCTAATGTAACAGAGATCCTGGAGTCACTGAGGATGATTTGCTAAAAACATCAGCTCAGTACTCAGCAGCCAATAAAAAGACAAATAAGATGTTAGGGATTATTAAGGGAACTGTTAACAAAACAAAGTATCATTGTGCTCCTCTATGGTGCATCCACACCTTGAATACTGTGCCCAGTTTCAGTCCCCGCACGTCACTAGAAGATATAGAAGAACTAGAGAAGGTACAGAAAAGGGCAGCAAGGATGATCTGTGGAATGGAGGGGCCTCTGTGTGATGAGATTAGAATCTAGCTACCCAGATCAGAAGAAACACTTGGGGTAGGAGGGGAGGAGGGGAGCATGGTAAATGTTTACAAAATACTGAATGGTGAAGAGAAACTAAATATTTACTATCTCTCTCAATACAAGCGGTAGGGGTCATAAAGGCCAGGTACAGACCGTCAAAAAGCCCAAGGCTGAATCAATACAGTCTTTGCAGGTTAGTCTAAACTGCAGAGATTGAACCAGCAAGCAAGCAAACAGACATTATCTTTTGATTCAGCAAATACAGGCACATGCCTTCAGTAGCCCACACCAGAAGCTAGGGGGCACTACAGCACACCTCCCAGTCCAAGGCTTTCCCCACTCCCTACTCGAGCTAGCTGGAGGGTCTGCCTGGGCAGGGGGTCGGAAGCATCTGCCAGGCTGGAGGGGTGGGGGGCGGAGGTAGTGGCACTGAATTCATAAAAGCTTGAATAAGAATAGTCCTCTCTCTGTATTGAACAGAAGGGTACAATCCTGTGAAATCCTGCTGGCTGTGATCATGGACTACAAATCCCAGAAACACCTGGAAGCAGGAAAAGGAAATGATGAGCAACCCTACAGAGTCCTGCTGCTGTGAGTCTGGACTGAAAATCCCAGAGACCTTAGAAACAGTAAGAAGAGGAAGTGAACACAGCCCATGTTTGGGGGGGCTATGATTTAACTTGAACCAGAAAGGGGTCTAGGACAGAAATTTCATAAACCAGTTTGCCCTAAATCAGTTAAGTCTGATACTACATTCAACCAGGTTTATCTTCAACCAGTTCCAGCCATTTTGAAACTAATTTATGTGCACTGAGCTTCTGTTCTGTTACAAGTTTATTAAACCAGTTTCTGAAGAGAAACTGGTTTATGTACAAATTCCATCCCTAGCCAAAATGAAACTACTAGGAGTAAGTTTACAACTAAAAGAAAATAGGTTCATTTTCACACTGTTTGTAATTAAAGTGTGGACCTCATTGCCACAACAAACATAGAAACAGTTTAACCAGGTTCAGAAAATGGACTGAGCACAAGAGCTAAGGGTACTTCCTCTGGATCAAAACTTCCTGAACCTTAAATGCTGGAGAATTATAGGTTATACCCTGTTCACTCTCCCTTTCAGGATACCGGGAAAGATAGACCTATGGTCTGACCCAGTAAATGGCAGTTCTTATGTTCTATTTGGTAGGACTCTGTTTGATAATTAGGTAGTAAATCAACTGGGAATTTTGATAAACTCTGTAGCATTGGAATACAGATCTTAACAAAATTGGAGTGAGCAAGCAAGCAAGCATGCATGCATCTACAGGTGCATGGGGTCACATAGGCAGATGAGCTTAACCCTGGAAAACAACAGATGGGACTGGTTGGTAACAGAGCTATGTTAAAAAGTTAAAGCAATTTTACTTTACTTCGTGACTAAGTAAAAATGTGCATAAATTCTTGATAAAAAGTTTTCCTTCCTGCCCTTCTAACCTTTCAGGCTTGTTCTTTTTTTCCCCTAAGAGGTTACCAAACTTCTCTTTCCTAATTTAGAGTGCTGTTATACCCGTGATGGTGTAGGAATTATGCAAAAGGCAAGGATTTCTTTGGATATCTTTTATTGTTCCTTGCCTCTCTCTCTTTTCATTATGACTATATGGTTCATTTATTTTTGTGTACCATTTATTTTCTCTCTTACATGCCAAGCATGTTCAAAAGAGCTGAAAACTACTAAGTTCCAAAATATACATCAGACAAAGAACATTTTTAGAGTTACTAAGTGTCAAATAATTTTATCTCAAAGAAAAAAAAGGAAGCTTTGTGGCCTAGAGAAAAAAGAAAAGGGAAGCCCAATCTTATTTACTGTTTCTCTGAAAGGTACTTCAGGGATGTGACCCGTTTTTCAGTAATTTGAGTTTCTCTGATGGACTTTAAAATATACAAGGATTAAAAATGGGCATTTAATTACAACTATTGAGTGTGACTTACCATTTCTTAGAGATTTTTAACCAGATTAGATTTTAAAAGAAAATCTGCATGTGGCAAAACACTATTTTTCAGGTTAACTTCCAAATTAGGAATTAACTCCTTCTTAATTTTCTTGCTAAGAAATTCTTCTTAGCAAACTTTCAGGTATAAATACCCTTCATCAGGCTGAGGAACCTTGCTAAGAAGAATTTTTCCAACTATTTAAGTTGGTCTAATAAAAGATATCAAGGTTTACCCAAATAACTTTGTCTGCCTACGTCCTTAGACCAACATGGCTACAATCTATACCGCTGTAACATCGACAACCTAAACAGCTTATAAATGAACAAAGTTATATGATGTTAACTGAGTAATCTGTAACCAAGGACAAGATTTAAATTACTTAAAGAAGTTATTCAAGAAACTGGACTTAAAAGAATCAATTTACTGCTGTTTATCTCAAATACTGATTAAATGGTTTTATTTTTATTTGTTTACCATGATTAGTTTTTGTCTGTCTTTCTGGAATTACATAGTCTTTACACAGTTTGATATTTAACAAAAGAAGATAAGCAAAAGTATTTCAAATCTTACTACACTGTTACTAGAAAAACTCAAATCCAATTCCTTCACAGTGTTTTGGAACATTTCATCTTACCCTGAAAATCCTGAAAATACAGTGGCAAATTTACAAGATGCTCCCCTTAATGCAATTCTATTGCTTTCTTAACTACATTCTTGGTTGCAAGGCTCTGTCCTAGGAGTCAGGGTTATAAGGATCTTCTGCTACACCCCCTTCCAGTCACCTCACCCTTGACCCTCATGGCCAGGCCCAGGGGTTTCCCCTTTTACCAGTAAACTACCTTACCATTTTACTTCACCCCTCATGGGCTGCAAGGGTTTCTAACTGGTAAGCTCACTGTTCCACTCCTGGTGCCTCCCAAGTCAGAGGAGGCACCAGATCACTGACACGGGAGGGGGGAGATCCCCTAGCAGCCAATCATCAAGCCCAAAATCACCAGTGGTGAAACCGGAAGTGCACTTCCACTGACACTTCCAGTTTCATGGCTGGCATTTCTAGGGGGTGCATGTGCACCCACGTGCACCCCCTACACATAGCCAATGGCAGCATGCACTCCTTCAGCAGGCTGTAGCAACTCTACTCA